CCAAAGTTTCTCCATTCTTCACATGCTCCCACCTCCACCCACACTATGGATCAGTATCTATTTATCAGAGAAATTCAGCTTTTGGCTTTGGGGATAGGCTTATTTCAATTAGCATAATATTCTCCAACTCCACCTATTTACCTGAGAATGCCATGATATTATTTTCTTTTAATGCTGAGTAATATTCCATTGGGTATATTCCAGTTTGTTTATTCATTCATCTATTGAAGGGCATCTAGTTGGTTCCACAATTTAGCTATTGTGAACTGTGCTGCTATAAACATTGATGTGGCTGTCACTGTAGCATGCTGTTTTTAAATCCCTCGGGTATAGACCAAGGAGTGGGATAACTGGGTAAATGGTGGTTCCATTCCAGGTTTTCCAAGGAATCTCCATACTGCTTTCCATATTCGCCGCACAAATTTGCAGTCCCACCAGCAATATATGAGTGTGACTTTTTCCCCACATCTTCACTAACATTTATTGTTGTTTGTATTCTTAATAGCTACTATTCTGACTGGAGTGAGATGAAATCTTAAAGAGTAGTTTTGATTTGCAATTCTCTAATTGCAAGAGATGTTGAACATTTTTTCATATATTTGTTGATTGATTCTATATCATCTTCTGAGAATTTTCTGTTCAGTTCCTTGGCCCATTTATTGACTGGGTTGTTTGGGGTTTTTTTGGTGTTAAGTTTTTTGAGTTCTTTATATATTCTGGAGATCAGTGCTCTATCTGATGTGCATGTGGTAAAAATTTGTTCCCATTCTATAGGCTCTCTCTTCACTTCACTGATTCTTTCTTTTTTTTTTTTTAAGAGAGAGAGAATTTTTTTTTAATATTTATTTTTTAGTTTTCGGCGGACACAACATCTTTGTTTGTATGTGGTCCTGAGGATCGAACCCGGGCCGCACGCATGCCAAGTGAACACGCTACTGCTTGAGCCACATCCCCAGCCCTTCACTGATTATTTCTTTTGCTGAGAAGAAGCTTTTCAGTTTGAATCTATCCCATTTATTGATTCTTGATTTTATTTCTTGTGCTATAGGAGTCTAATGACTTATCATCACATTTCCATAGTCCCACATCCTCTATTCTCACCTGCTTCTGATATCCGATTTTATTTTCCTCTTCTATTATGTCCTAGCCACAGAATATATTCTAACATTCCTCAGTGCTAATGTCTATAATGCTAATATATATTTTTCATAAAATCTAGGCATTGTTTTATTGACATTATAAGTAGCTATCTGTTTCCCATTTATTCCAGGGAATTTGTGGGTAACTGTTATCGTTCTGCTTTACTATGATTTCAATTGATTCTTTTTTTCTCCCTCATCCTTAATATCTTTAATAGCATAAGTTCTCTTAACTGTTTCCAAAACATATACTGAATCTGTTTACTTCTTTCCATCTCTCTTGCTACTATTTTAGTCCAAAACACTATCATCGCTTGCACCTAGAACAATGTGGCCACCTGTCTTGTTGCAATACTTTTTACCCCCCCCCCAATACATTCTCCACACTATACCCATAAAGAGTTTATTATAACACAAATTCAATCACATTACTTTCCTCCTCAAAGCCTACTATGGCTGTCCATCACAACAGAATAAAATCCAAACTCCTTACCATGGCCTTACAAAGCCCAACATGAATTATGTATAACTATAATCACCAATAAAAAAAAGGGGGATGAAGAAAGTGTGCCCAACATGATTAGGTCTCAGCCTACCACTTCAAGATTCTCTCTCGCTTGCACATTAAAGAGCTGCACTGGTCTTTTGACTATTTCAGAATAAGCCAAGCTTGTTGTTATAAGCCTTGGGAACCCTGTGCTCAAGCATTCCTTTGCCTGGACACTTACTTTAGATCTTTATAGCTTAGCTCTTCCTCATCATTCAGGGATCCATTCAGGGATCCTCTTCAAAGAGACTTTCCCTGACCACTCTGGTTAAAGCAGGGCTTCCAACCATGTTCTAGTACCTCACCCAGTTTTATTTTTCTTCTAGCACTTATCACTACCTGAATTTTTCATCTAATTATTTCCTGTATATCTTCTTCCTCATAAATAGGGACCTTGTTTAGCTTGTCTGCTATTATAACCTATGCCAAAATAGTTCCCAGGACATTGTGAATGAAAATAATTGAATGAATGAATGACCTCCTGAGGCCTTGGTTCAGAATTCTTTGTCTCTGAACAAAAGTTTAAGTTTAATAACCTGAGTGTTGTATATGTTTATTTAGTCATACTATGCTTCTTTAAGAAAAGCATATGAACAAAAAGCATTTTATTCACTTGTAAATTTACATTTCTTCTTCTTTGTCTTAAAAATATTATGGCTAGGATGGCTAAGGACTCTATAAATATAACACAGCCAAAGAATGGGAAAAAAGAAAACAAAAGAACCAAATTATGTTAAAATTCCCAAACTAAGTTGTTTCCCAATCATAAATGTATCTGTTCATGCTATTTTCCTTTAACAAATGAAAAAATATCTATTTTATAGGTGGAACTTTTAGGGATTTAAGATTTTGGAAAGTTAGTTCTTCTTCTTAATATTATAATTTCCATTTTGATTTGATTATCACTACCTGAATAAGGGGAGACTAAATCTGCATCTATGTTAAAAGTACTTAAATAGATTCCTTATGGTCACATGTTCCTATAGGTCATTTATTCATCAACACACATGTGCATTAACCACATTTTAGGCAATGTGCTAAAGAGGCAGAATGACTTACTACTGTTTCTGCTCAGGCAGAGAAACATGGAGGGACAAAACAAGGCTACTTATATTAAGCTCGAGAGGTCAGGAAAAGGGTCTGAGTGGAACTCTTGACACCTGGGAAGAGTGTTGCCATAAATGCATAAGAGATAATGGGGAAGGAGTTCCAGAAAAAAGGGGCAAATATCAGAACCACAGAGCACATGTGAGGGATGGCCAAAAAGATGAGGCTGAAGTTAATGAAGTGCCCTGTATTCTTCACTAAGGGATTCTAATCTGTGCTATTAGGTACTTATATGGACCCATAGGGATTTGTACATACATTTTCAAGATTAAGATTTCTGTAGGAGAAACCTTTCACTTTCAGTCTGACAAAAATTGAAAAGAAGGGGAAAAAAAGATTTTTTTAAAAAAGGGTACTCTGGGTCATCTGGATGACCACTTTTAGTTGAGTGTTAACAAGATTTCAGTTCACACATATGGTTCAGACACATCTGTGTCACATTTGTTGCACCACTTGTCATTGGTGCAGGATGAAAAAGAAATGGGAACTATTATACATAAGTGACATTTTCAAATGAAGGTTCAGTGAAGTTATGAACCAACAGTGTACAGTGATGCATGCCTGTAATCCTACCTACTCAAAAGCCTGAAGCAGGAAGATTTCGAGTTCAAAACTAGTCTTAGGAAACTTAGCAAGACCCCATCTCAAAATAAAAAATTAAAATGGTTGGGAATATAGGGCAGTAGTAAAGCACTCCTGGGTTCAACCAAGTAAATAAACAGAAGTCATGACACACCAAATAAAGGAAATTTTTGCAGTGGTTTAACAAAGAAAGGAACATCAAGTGATCTCTTGGCACTAGGGAAAATGGATAGGCTTTTCAATAAGGAAGAGGTTCACTTTGAGAAGTCTTTAGATCCAGCAAAATATTCTTATTGGACACAACGAGTAAGTATTCATTAGAATTTATTGATTTTATAGTTTTGCTTCATTTTTAAATGTTTAGGTGTTATAGTTGTATAAAAATACAATATAAAGAGTTTATACCTACTTTCATACTTGATTTCATGTTTAACATACTGAGATATTTTAAGTTAGAATGGAGGATCCTGGGTATCAGTTCTGGTTTGAGAAATTCTGCTATAAGAGACAGGGAACCACTGAAAGATTGTAACATGAGAACAGCTTTGTACTTTAGAAAAATCACTCTGGAAGAAGGGAGCATTGGAACTGAAAGTACCAAACTGAAAGAACAGTTAGGAGGCTACTTAATAATATGATAAAAATGGTAAGGCCCCAAATTACTCAATGAAATAAAGATGAGACAATAAGAGAACGGAAGGACTTGGCTGTGGGTGAGGTAAAGGGAGACATCTAGATAGAATGACTCTGCTTTGGGTGTTTGGGGGTGAGATAAAGACCACAGGAAGACAAACAAGTGAAGGCAAAGAGGAAGAAGAAAAGAGAGAGATAATGAGTTCAATTCAGCAATGACTTGAATTTCATTCCAGCCAAAGAAAATCCAGTTATGTTTTCTGGGTTCTAGTTTTCTCAGTGACAGCTGCATTCATGAATTACCAATTAACTATTGTAGCGCTGTCTAAAAATAAAGCACTCCACTGTATGCTCTAAATAAGTCATGAAAATCAGCAAAAGCCAAGCTCTGAAGGAAATGCATCAAGGTTAAAAAGAGATATGATTTTTTTTTAACTGAATTTAAATTGTGACCCAGCGCACTCACCAGTATTGTAATTTTTGAACTGCCAGTCAGACATGATCACTCACCTTCCTAAAACACCTAAGAACTAGATGGAGATGCAAAGACCTCTCTCAGGGACCTACAACAAAACAATGGGACAACTTCTAGCTTAAGGTTATTGAAATTTTAGTGCACTGGAAACTTTGAACATATAGGCAGGGCTAGTTAACAAAGTATGCTATCTTTTACTTACAGAAATCAACGTGGAATATCTTAGGTAGTCCTGTAAGAATGTAAGCATTTTATTCCCTTTAAGTGGAGCAGGGTATGGGATTGGAAGGGAGAGGAAGGAAAACGCAGCAATTATCGCAATACCAGTCATTTTCCGCAGGCCACACAAAAGGCGGGCCTCTGAGAAGAGTAATTCAATCCTAGTTTGGTGGGAAAGCATCATCTTCCACCACTAATCATAATACAAAAGCAAAGTGTTTATACAAAGAAAATGTTTAACAGTTAACCTCATCCACGACGTCTAACGAGCGGCTGAAGGGAAAGCCGCGGGGCGTACCTTTGGAGAGTGGTCACACTCGACACAGCCCCTGCGGGCGCCTGGCTTGAGCCTCCCAGAGCGAAAGCCAGGGGCGGCAGGAGACCGGGTACCAGAGAAGCAATGACCCCTGAGTGCAGCCCAGGAAACTGGACCAGGAGGCGGCAACACAGCGCCCCCAGGGGTCTTCCCCGCGCGCCGCTACCAACCCGAGAAAGCTCTGGAGCCGCACAGCGCAGCCCACACCTTTGCTGGACCCAAGAGGGCGTTCTGGAGGCGGGGCCGCGGCATGCTGGGGCGGGGCTGGGGCAAGAACGCATTTCCTGTTGCCTGATGGGAGTTGTAGTCCAGGAGGAAGCCAGCGTGCCCTGGGAACTACATTTCCCTCTGAGGTAGCGGCTACGGCAGGCCGTGAGGTAAAGCGACTTTGCATTGTCCGCGGGCGGAGAGCGTCTTAGGGGCAGGACAGGAAGGGGGCGTTTTTTTTTCTTCCCCTCTTCGCGTTCAGGTGGTGCGTACTTTGCGTTCCCTCGCCCAGTTACTGGGTACCCAGTACCCGGCTACCCGGTTAGCTTTCTTAAGATTCGGAGGGAGCTGTTTCTGCCCTACGTGGGAGTGAGGGGCCAGCCCCTCTTCGGCCCAGCCAACCCTGCGGGCCGATCGCTCATCCATGGGCCCAACCCGGAAGCCCAACGTGTGCCGGAGGCTGAGTCGCCGGGCTCTGGGCTTCTTCGCGCGCGACGCAGGCGTGGTGCAGAGGACGAACCTGGGCATCCTTCGGGAGCTGGTGTGCCAGGTGACCTCCCGCCGGTCGCGGGCATAGTGGAGGCAGCGGGGCACCTGTGGTCAGACTTCCTGCTGGGGTGCAGTTTTTGCATTCTAGGCTCCCTTTTGAGTGTGTTTCATGTGACGGGAAGGGGGAATACGTGTCGTGCACCTGGGGGATTAGTAAATAGGTGTTAATAGGGCCGCCATATGGTTTTAGTTTTAAGCTGCTTATGCCTTCCTGCAAACTGTGTTTCTAAAAGTTGGGCACCCAGTTTAACCTAGACGCGAGGGCAGGGTGAGGAAGAATTCAAAATGTTTTTAAATAGCATATGTGAAATTACTTTGAAAATGATATATTTACCCTACTTAAAATGGATGCACAGAGTAGAAACTTATGAATTCTTTCCTAAACCGAAATCCCTTGTATTTTTCAGGAAAGTACTAAATTTAAGAATGTTTGGACAACTCACTCCAAGTCACCTATAGCTTATGAGAGAGGAAGAATATATTTTGACAATTATCGGTGCTGTGTTAGCAGGTAAATTTTTAGTGATAATTTTTCAGACTGTTGATCTCATCAGTAAGTTTTATAGAATCACATGCTTATATTAATGTACAGGAAAATAGAAGAAAGGGAAAATAGGTCCGAAATAAGACTAGGCAGTAAAATGCACGTAATTTAAAAATCTTAAGTCTAAAATTGTGGGTTTCCTCTTTAGAAATACTATATTAAAGCACAGCTGCATTTAATCCAGGCAAAATAATACATTTCCCCCCACATTTTTATCAATGCATGATAGTTGTACATAGTGATGGAATTTGTTGTCATATATTCTTATTATGCACACAGCATAGCAATATAACTTGTCTAATATCACTCCACCGCACTTCCCCCCCTCTCTTCCTGCCTCATTGTTTATAAAACTTAAAGATACCAGAGTCCTGAAAGCTGGTTACTATGTAATTAGAAGCTACTTTTTTAAGAGAAAAAATTTCAAACAAAATAATAGTATTTATAGATCCAGAATGTTTAACAGTTAACCTCAACCACAACAGTCCAACATGAGGCTACAGGGAAAGCTGCAGTGAATCCCCATATACCCATTACCTAGAATTAGAAACTATCAAGATTTGCAACACTCTCTTTCTCATCCATATCCCCTTTCCTTTACCTCTGTGCTAGGTATTTTAAAGCATATTCTTGACATGCTTCAGTGTGTATCTCTTAAAAAGTCTTGGGCATTTTCTTTTTAAGAACTTTATTAAGATAGTTATATACCATACTATTTCTCCATGAAAAATGTACAATTGATTTTTTACATTCACAGATACACACAGCCATCATCATAATTATACATTTTCATTGTTGTAAAACAAAAAAGACAATCTTGAATGCTGTCATCCTAAATTTAGAAATCTCCCAAAATCAAAATCCCCAAAATTATAATCCTAAGAGATTTAAATGCCAAATGTTGAAATTTTAAAAGCCAAAATCTCAAAAACTGTAATACTTATGGGCAAAAGACTATAAAAGAAGGCTAAAAAGCCATATTCAGGGCAAGGGAGGAGACTAGTGTATTTTTGATTGTATACAGGACCATTTCATGGGTAGTACTGGTATCAACAGAATGTTCCTATTTTCTCCCTCTTTTATAACACAACACCATTAAGTTTAAAGATATCTTTATAACACCATTGTCATTGATATAAAGATATCTTTAAACTTATTTTTGTTATAATCACTGAATACCTTTTTGCTGTTTTTATTTTCAACAAACTTTTTTAATTCAATAAAGAAAAACAAGGAATTTTATTTTACCTTCATTTATGTCTTCTCTAACACTTCCATTTTTAGACCTGACGTATCATTTTCCTTTCTCTGAAAAATGTTTTGAATATTTCTTATAAGGCAAGATATTCTCAATTTTGTTTATCTGGATAGTCACTTTTGAAGGATAATTTTTCTGGATACAGAAATTCCAGGTTGTGGAATTTTTTTGTTTTCTTTCAACACTATAGATATTTCACTTGGTTCTTGTTTGTATGATCTCTGAAAGAGAAGTTTGATGTAATTCTTCTCTTTGCTCCTCTGTAGATAAGGTGCCTTCCCCTCCCTGCTTCTCTTTTAAGATTTTCTCATTTTTTAAAAAAGAGTTTAACCTGTATTTTTTATTTATTTGTTTTCTATGTGGTGCTGAGGTTCAAACCCAGTGCCTCACTTGTGCTAGGCAAAAGTGCTCTACCACTGAACTACAGTCCCAGCCCTCTCCTCATTTTTTTTATATTCTGCTGTTTGAATATGATATACCTATGTGTAGTTTCTTTTTCTTTTTAACTTCCCTACTAGTGTTTCTGAGCTTCCTGGACTTGTACTTGGGCGTCTCGTGAGTTATATAAAATTCTCAGTCCCTATTTCTGTTTTTCTCCTTCTGGTATTCCCATTGTGTGTACATTACACCTTCTCTTAATTGTCCCATAGTTATTGAATATTCTGTTCTACTTTTTTCTTTTTTCTTTTCAGTTTGGGAAATTTCTGTTGACTTCTCTTCGAGCTTACTGATTCTTCAGCTGTATCCAGCCTACTGATGAATCATTTTTCACTTCTACTATACCGTTTTTGATTTCTAGCATTTCCTTTTGATTTTTGTTTTTCTACTTAATTGGCCATCTCTTCTTGCTTGTTGTCCACTTTTTCCCTTAGAGTCCTTATCGTATTAATCATAGTGTGTTGTTGTTTTGCCTTACTATTAAATCCAGAGCCTTGTGCATAATGGGCAAGTGTTCTGCCACTCAACTACACAACTAGCCTTTTTTTTTTTTTTTTTTTTTTAAATTTTTTAAACAGCCTCATTTTAGTTGCCTAGACTGGTCTTATATGTGGGATCCTTCTACCTCAGCCTATCAAGTAGCTGGGAGTTCAGGTTTAACCAGAGATTTTTTAAGTTCCTGATCTTATAATTCCAGAATCTCTGCCATATCTGAGCCCAGTTCTGATGCTTGCTTTGTCTCTTCAAACTTTGTATTTTGCCCTTTAGCATGCCTTATAATTTTTTTGTTGAAGACTGTATGACATATTAGGGAAAAGGAATTGAGGTAAGTAGGCCTTTAGATTTTATGTTTATCTGGGTGAAGCTATTATTATTTGATGTAACCATAGGTATCAGAAGTTAAATTTTTCTTATTGTCTTGTTTATGTCTTCCCATTACTGATTCCAGTGGCTTGTTTCTTGGACTCTGTTCCTGTTAATCTGGGATTTTTTCCCTGTGACCTCAATTCTCTGCTGGATCTAAGAATAATTGTTAATTTTCGAATTGTTTAGCCATTTTCCAGTGAGTTCAAGCATCACAACTTCTGCTCTTTTCATGTTGCACCAGAAGCAGAAGTTAGAATAGTCTGCATTTGGAGTTTGTTCTGAACTCAGAAGGGCTCCTTCAGTTAGCTTTTTCTGGTTCACTCTGGCAAATTAGCCAGCCAATAATTTAGCCTATATTTCCAATGAATCTGCCTATCTCCCATTTGTCTTTTACCACAATCTTTACTGGTTTTGACAGTACACTTAGGCTTGATCCTTCTCCACATCTGTTGTAAATAAAGTCAGTTTTTCTAGAAGGAACTAGGGACTATCTGTTTTATGACCTACTTCTCCCAGGCATAATCTTCAAACCAGCACTCTAATAGGAGTAAATGAAACTCTTCTCTGTGAGTCACATCCCTGCTCTAAAAGCTGAACTTGTAAGTTTGAGGGAACACTAGCCTTACATCTTTTCAACTTGCCTCTCTTAGGATGGACCCATTGCTCTATAAAGAGGGATAAGACCTATCAGGGCAATAGTATTCTCAGCCATGTTGCACCCAAGGCAGAGCCTCCACTTCCTGAGTGGGACCTGGGTGGCAGAGAGGTGCCCCACCTCTTGACTACATTCACTCAGGACTCATTGTCTGCAATAGATAGCTGAGGGTTGGATGAGGAATGCTACCATTCTGCCTCTCTTAGGGAGATAGTTCTCTTAGTAGAGGCAGTGGGGAGAGGAGCCTTGTGTTCTTGGTACACCAGTTTGAAGTAGAGTGGCTATCTTGTTGAACTAGGAATGAGGAAGAATGGAACCCTTCCTGCTCTAAACACCAAAGACTCCTATTATTCTAAGATTTTTTTTTTCCAGTGCTATGGATTAAACTGAGGGTCTTGTGCACAGTAAGCAAGTGTTCTACCACTGAGCTACATCTCCAGCCCATACTCCATATTCTTAATGAGTACTAATAGATTTTCATTAATAAACATGTCTTCATGTGCTGTATGTCCCCAATAGCATTTCCCAAGACTTTTAAGTTGTTATCCTTTTATAATTTTTCACAAGTTTGCTTTCAGAGTGTGTCTACACAGCCTTACCACTGTCATGCTGGAAGTAGAAATCTAGACTTTTTTTATGTTCATAATGTCATTTTCACACCTAACAAAATTAGTGGTATTTCTTTGGTACCATTTAATACGCAGTTCATAACTTCCCCA